CCGCTGATGGGTTTTAGAGAGCCAAGAGAAGCCCATTGTAATCTCAGCTGGATGCAGAGTATAGCAGCTGTCCTTATGCATCTTGGGAGGAGGACAAGAGTAATTTGAGACCAATGAATTCTGATTATTTTAAGCCTGAGTGAAACCAAATGTTTGAGGGCTGTTAGTGGCACAGAAGATTTTAGCTAATAATCCCCTTTAGTAGTCATCTTTCATGATATAGGTAGAACTTGCTTTACTAAAGGAGAACTGAGAATCATAATAAAGGAAGTAGAGAAAAGATGAATTGCCACATATCTTCGTGCAATTACAGCTTCTCATTTCTCCTCACTGATTGCTGTTAAAGCCCCAAACCAAATAGACCAAATCCATTGCCAAAAGGATTTCATACAAATCAATTCCAACTCATAGCTACTCTATAGGGCAAAGTGGAACTGCCTCATAGGGTTTCTGAGGCTATAAATCTTTATAAAAGCAGCATATCTGCCTTCCATGGAGTGGCTGGTGGGTTCGAATTGCCCACCTTTTGGTTAGCAGCCAGCCACTTGACCACTGCATCACCTGGGGTCCTTATTTAAACCAGTGTCATCCTATCTGTGAGACCAATCATCCAGGAAGACTAAAGGACATGGAACCCTCTGTAGAGAAGCAAGAGAAATGAAAAGGCTAAGAGGTCTGAGATGTCTTATGGTGTTTAGTGACAAAATGCTAATTGCAAAGTGAAAGTTATCTGAAATGAAGGAGAAAACAAGAAGGATCTAGATAAATACTGGGAGGAAGTAGTTAATGCTGGTATACTCATGAAGCCAGAATTAATGTGCAAATATAACCAGTTGCTATGGAGTTGATTCTGACTTATGGCAACCGCATATGTGTCAGAGTAGAACTGTGTTCCATAGAATTTTCAATGGATTTTTTGAAAGGACATTGCCAGGTCTTCTCCTGAGGAAACTCTGGGTAAACCTGAATCTCCAACCTTTCAGTTACAAACTAAAGACATCAACTGCACCACCAAGGGCCTCCCTACCCACTGCCGTTGAGTCAATGCCCACTCATATTGACCGTATAGGGTAGAGTAGAACTGCCCCATAGGGTTTCCAAGACTGTAAACCTTTATGGAAGCAGATTGCCTCTTCTTTTTCCTGTGGAGCAGCTGGTAGGTTCAAACCACCAACATTTTGGCTAGCAGCCCAGTCAATGCTTTAACCACTACATCACCATGTTTCCTTTCCGGGGACTCCAAGACTAATGTAAATCTACATTGTTTCAGAGACAAGATTCACACCTGTGTTTTTCCTGCCTGTTCTCCTTTGGGGAAATGCCCATTTACAGTGTGGTCTGTATTAGTCAAAGTTAGCCAAGAAGACAAAAGATGCTGAATATTTAAAATGAGATTTAATGCAGGGAATCCTGATACAGCTGACATGCAAGATAAGGTAGTGAGGCAACCCAGAGATTGACAATAGAAGCCACTCCCACCTAGGGATGCTAAGTGGGGATGCCCTGTTAATGGAGCCTAAGGTCTGTGTGCTAGTTATCTAGTGCTGCTATAACAAAAATACTACAAGTGGATGACTTTACCCACAGTATTTATTCACTTACAGTTGAGAAGGCTTAGAAGTCCAAATTCAGGGCACCAGAATTCAAGGCTACAGGCTAACTGAAATGTCGGGAGGACTCACTCGCTCTCTCTGTCTGTTCTGGGGGTAGGTCTTTCTCTCTTTTCAGCTTCTATTCCTAGATTTCTTGGCGATTATGTGGCATATATTTTTCCCTCCAAGGAGCCCTGGTGGTGCAGTGGCTAAGCACTCAGCTGCTAACAGAAAGGTAAGCAGTTGCAACCTATCAGCTGTTCCAAGGTAGAAAGATGTGGCAGTCTGTTTCTGTAAAGTTTACACAGCCTTGAAAACCTTGTGGGGCAGTTTTACTCTGTCCTACGTGTCTCTATGAATTTAAAGTTGAATTGATGGGAATGAGGTTTTTTTAAAAAAATCTTTTTGTGCTTGCCTACTTGCTTATTTAATTTGCTCTTTCATGTCTCAAAAGATATTAAGACACACCTCACATAAATACAGCCTCATTAACATAACAAAGAAGACCCATTCCTAAATGGGATTATAACAACATGTATGTTGTTGTTGTTAGGTGTCCATGCAGTTGTTTCTGACTCTTAGAAACTCTCTACAAGAGAAGGAAAAACTGCCCAGTCCTGTGCCATCCTCACAGTTCTTGCCATGTTTGAGTCCACTGTTGCAGCCACTGTGTCATCTACCTTGTTGAAGGTCTTCCACTTTTTTGTTGACCTGTAGTGCCTAAGGCACTTGACTGCTAACCAGAAGGCTGGCAGTTCAAACCCACCAGCCACTCCTTGGAAGGAAGTTTGGGCAATCTACTTCCGTAGTGATACTGCCTCAGAAACCCAAGGAGGGGTCGCTATGAGTTGGGTCCGACTCGATGGCACATAACAACAATGACAACTTCTACTTTACCAAGCATGATGTCCACCTCCAGGGATCAGTCCCTCCTGATAACGTGTCCAAAGTATGTGAGATGAAGTTTCTCCATCCTTGCTTCTAAGGCTGTAGTTCTTCTGAGACAGAGTTGTTCATTCTTCTGGCAGTCCATGGTATATTTAGTATTCTTTGCCAACACCATCATTCAGATGCATCAGTTATTCTTCAGTCTTCCTTATTCATTGTCCAGCTTTCTCATGCACATGTGGCAGTTGAAAATCCCATGGCTTGGATCAGGTACACCTTAGTCCTCAAAGTGACATCTTTCCTTTTTAACTTTCAGGAGGTCTTTTGCAGCACATTTGCCCAATGCATTGGGTCATTTGGTTTCTTGACTGCTGCTTCCAAGGATGTTGATAGAGGATTCGAGTAAAATGAAATCCTTGACAACTTAAGTCTTTCGTGTGTTTATCATGATGTTGATTATTGATTTAACTGTGAGGATTTTTGTTTTCTTTATGTTGAGGTGTAATCTATATGAATACTGTAATCTTTGACCTTCATAGGTAACTGCTTCAAATCCTTTTGGCTTTCAGCAAGCAAAGTTTTGTCATCTCTATATCACAGGTTGTTAATGAGTCGTTCTTCAATCCTGATGCCACATTTTTCTTCATATAGTCCATAAGTATAGGGGTTTTTGGAGGGACATAATTCAATCTATAACAGACTGGGATCACTTAGTGGAAGCTGGAACTAGGAACTCCTATTTATAAGTATCTGAAAACACACACACATACACACAAAACCCCTCAAACCTGTTGTTACTGAGTAGATTCCTATTCATGGCATCCATATGTGTTACAGAACAGAACTGTTCCATAGGATTTTCTTGGCTGTAAGCCTTATGGAAGGAGCCCTGGTGGTACAGTGGTTAGGTGTTCAGCTGCTAACTGAAAGGTTGCTGGCTTAAACCCACCCACTGGTTCCAAGGGAGGAAGACCTGGCAATCTGCGCCTATAAAGAGCCTGGAAAACCCGAGGGGGGCACTTTTACTCCATCACTGAGTTCACTCTGAGTTGAAATCGACTCGATGGCACCTAACAACAATAATACATTTTTACAGAAGCAGTTTGTCAGGCTTTCTTCCATGGTGCCACTGGTTGGATTTGAACCAGCAACCTTTAGGTTAGCAGCTGATCGCAAATTGCTTGCACCACCTAGAAGGTATAGGGATTGGGATTTTAATACCTTCACTGTCCTACAGTTGGGAGCTCTGGTGGCATAGTGCCTAAGGCATTTGACTGCTACGCAGAAGGCTGGCGGTTCAAATCCACCAGCCACTCCTCGGAAGGAAGGTTGGGCAATCTACTTCCTTAGTGATAGTGCCTGGGAAACTGCAAAAAAGGCAAGGAGGCCACATGTTCTGACCTCCTCTAATCTCACAAGAGGAAGACAGCAGTAACCCAAGGCCTATT